AGGTAGGCCATGGCATAAATGTCCACATTTGTGGAGATTTTGCAAATATATTCTTTCTTTGGTTTTCTTACTTTGTGGCACGCAACCACTCTTGAGTTTTACTGTTGTTTACCCCATCTTTTCAAGAGGAGAACCCTGGATGTAGATGGAAGACCTTCCAACACAGCAGGCCTCCTCCTAAATCTTTACCTCTAAGTTGACATGCTCAATTTAGAAGCAACGATACCTATAAACCTGCATTCCTTCATTCACACACAATGCGATATGCAGGTGACAGCACAGTCCTGTAATTTGATTCAGGCGTGTCCTGCAAGCATCTCCCATCTCATTTTCACACAGGCATGTTTGGAATAGTCTCAGCATTCTTTTAGGAATAGTAAAAACATGAAAGTAACTGATGCGTTTTATTGACCTTGGGTCAAAAAAAGAGAGCAGGTACATGTGAAGATTGACTTGGTGAAGAAAAATAGAGATGTCATTAAAATGAGACGAGGAGGGAAGAACAAAGCTTGGCATACAGGGAAGCAGATGTACAAACATAAAAAGCAGATGGGTTGAAACTGTACATTTTCCAACTCGTCCCAGGTGACATAAATCTTGATTTTTTAAATATTTTTGCTCCTACGTGAAAAATGATTTGCTATAGTTGACTTAGTCGTTAAAAGCTGAGCTCCCTTTGATAGCTTAGTTGGTTTAGTGGAGGACAGTATTCGATGACAGTTATCCTGAGGTTGCTGTTTCATCTCTGGCTTGGAGGACATGTGTTTTTACAAACTATCACAAACTAAGCGTTTTTCTTTCGCTTTCTGCTCACATGAATCCTTCTTCCCATTTTCTTGTTTTTTGTCCTTGCTAAAACTGAAGATATGGCCTCCACTCCTGGCAGACTCTTGTTATCATAATTATTTATTGCAAACTCCTGTCCAAATGTACTTAATATTTGTTGTCAGTAACTTTGCATAAAAAGTGTCCTCTAAATTCATAAATGTAATGAGGAATAAAAATGAAATCCACACATATGAGCAATAATCTAAATTTATGCAGTCCAAATGACAAAGAAAAAGATCAAACATGTACACAGAGAAGGAGAAAACTTGTGGAAACAAATTTCTGAAACATGTACAAGGCGGGGCTGGTAGTAGAGCACATGTATTTCAAAGCATATATTAAAAGTAAAATTGGCATTGTGTTAAGGGGACATCAGATGTGAACAGAAGTGAGTAGAACAGAGGAACTGTC